ATATGAGTGGAAGAGTAAAGGGCCTGTGGAAGCGAGAGTCATCAAATCCCCTGCAGCTGGAATTACAGCTAGTTGTAATACACCTGACAAAGGTATCAGCAATGGAACTCAGATCTTCCAACATAACAGCAGTGATCTTAACTACTGAGTTATCTGTCGAGCACAGAAATTAGTTGATTTTAATCGGAGAAAGAAAGTAGAAGCTCATCCCGAAGCAGGTAGTAAATGACTCCACTCCTAGACACTGTGATTTATGAATGTAGGGAACTAAGGATTGCTGGAGTTAAACGGAGAGTAGACGCAAAGGGCCCATAATTTTGGTAAAAATATTTAAAATCATTTTACATTTATACCTAATAATAATAGCACCATTATAGATTAGATGACAACTGTCTAGTATTTTTAAATTTACTTTTGCTAGCAGTCTGGACAAATACCAGCATTGTATTTTACTCACTATCCTAAGGTTATAATTTATCAAAATACATGTGGATTTAAAATGTAAAATCTTTAAAATTACTTATTTTGTGTGTGCATACCTGCATGGGCCACAGTGCATGTATAGGGGTTAAAGTACAGTTTACAGAAATAGGTTCTTTTCTACCATGTATATAGGTTTGGGAATCCAAATCAGTTCATCAGGCCTGATGGCGAATGCTGTGCCCCACTGAAACATATTGCTGTCCCACTAGTGAAATATAAAACAATCTTGCATATTACAGAAGAGATTGTTTTAATAATTTGTTTGATGTTGGGAGACACACACAAAATTAAAGAGTAAACATATCAAGAGGTTTATCATGAGTAGCAAGCCTAATAAGAATGTATCTGTAATTATGTTAGTGATAAATAAAAAAGTAAAAATAAGAATTATGTCATTCTAAAAGAGATTAATGTTTATTCGTTTGTTACTAGAGAAAATGTGATTCTTAAATTAATTGTCAGTCATATCGATGGGTGCTGTTGTGTTAATTTAAAAATGAGAAAAATGCTATAGAAAGAGCCAGAACATTAGTGAAATATATGTATATGTGTATATATGTGTGTGTGTACAGAAAATTTCATTTTGTATTTAAAACTGAATATTTACTTGTTAATAAAGATTTATCAAATGTTTATAAGCTTTCCATTCAATATTCACTTGAAATATTGTCCCTTATTACGTAACTTGACCACAGAAACTAAATCTGATGTAACCATGAAATAATGTAGCAACACTGTAGACAAGGATGGATATAACATTTGTAACATGTTATAAGTTGAAATAGGAGTGTTGTAAAGCCAGATATTTAAAATTAGGACAATACAAATGATCAAGAATTTTCATGGGCTGGGGAGATGGCTCAGTAAGTAGGGTATTTACTATAAAAGCAAGAGGGGTTGAGTTGGGAATCACAGAACCTAGGAAAAGCCAGATTCACCAGCATATGTTTATAATCTTAGCACACCTATGGTGAGATGTAGACTGGAGAGAGGAGAACCAGACGACAGCTAGATTTGCATACACAACAGTCGACCTGTCTGAAATAAGGCGATTAGTGAAAATGCCAGCTGAGGGTATCCTTGAATTTCCACAGGTACAACATGGAAGACTTTGTGTGTGTGTATGTGTGCATGCGCATGCATGTGTATGTGTCACACACACACACACACACACACACACACACACACAAATTAATGCTCTCAAAATAAGCAGCATTAAGTACAATTCCTTTTCCAGACACTGACAATTAAAAAAAAAAGAGTTTCCAGGTAGCAAATCAAAATGCAGAACAAGAGAAGACTAAAGGTCAAGGACTTCCCCATGAGATTCTTCCTTTGTCTAGTTCTGTTTAGCTAGATCAAACTGTTATTAAGAATTCCTCACATTAAGCATAACAAATTAAAATGAACAAAACCTAAGAATACGAAAATCTGTATAAAAAGAAAAAGAACCATGCCTTAGTCTTGATATTGTGATGGCTTTTCACTTTAAGAAATAAAACTCTTTTCTTGAAAATTGATTATTGAAATGAAAAGTGATGAATTTATCTTTTAGAACAATAAATGCATTAGTGATATTTGGTCATTTTTGCTACAGAGAGAGCAGGAAAGTGACCATTGTCATACCTGTAGACTTTCCTATCTCCCACAAGGACTGATATTCACAATCTATGAATTAATTTTTTTCTAAAGAGTTTTTTCCTCCATAGGCCTAAAATCAGCAATAGGCCTGTCACGCATGTATACTAACACCAAGTCTTGGGTCTCTGTGGAAAAATGTTGAAACAGATGGCTATAAGCTATTGTAGACAGGCAGCTTTTGTGGAAATTTACCAGCCTGAGTAGTCATAGACCTTGTAAATAGGTAGCCTTAGCAGATAGTACCAACTTAGATAAGGACAAGTGACTCATAGGCAGAGTCATAGTGACCTGTCCCCTGAACCTTCACCCAGCCGATACCCTGTTCTGAAAGATATCTGTACTCCCCCCTGAACACCCACACTCTGGTGTCATCCCCTTCCCCATGTCCTGCCTTTTTGTGTTTATAACCCCTGTGTGAATAAGTAAAAATTATGATTTGATTTAAAAAATAAATTAAAAAAAAGAGTTTTTTTTGTTGTTGTTGTAGTCGTTGTTTTTCTTTTTTCTTAGTGTAGCCTTGGTTGTCCTAGAACTCTCTCTGTAGAGCAGGATGGCCTAGAATTCAAAGATCCTCCCATCTCTGTCTCTCTAGTTGTCAGATTAAAGGCATGCACCACTACTGCCTGGCTTATGAATTAGAATGTTAAACCTTTAAGTTATTTGCTCCTATTGGGACATAAAAAATTCTCAGGCTGGATTGCAATTACATATTTTTTTTCAGTGCAAAAAAAGAAAAAGTAAGCAGTGGTCTGGATATATGGTCCATTCCTCCTACCCCCTCTCTTCTTTCTTCCTACTGTAATTTGTTTTTCTTTTGTTTAATTGTAAGGCAAGATCTCACTATTTAGCCAGGCTGAAATTGTAATCACTATTAACTCTCAATTGGCACTGAATTCACAAATCTTCCTTCCTTAGCCTCCCCTGTGCTGACATTATAGGTGTGCTTACAAGTCTGGCGTCACTCTTCCTTTACACAACCAGTCTTTAAAATGTACGAAGAAGTTTCAAAGATGTAACTGACATGAGTTGCATTTTATGAGAAAACTATGAGGTAAATTTATTCACAAGTCCGAGATACTGAGGTCAATGCCAAGAATAACAAACACACCACAGAAATAAACTTGTACTTTTGAAGTAAAAGTGCATTGGATTAAAGACACATGGCCTATTTAAGAACTCTGGTCTTTTGCTGGCTAGTCATGGGACACCAGGCTAATCACCTCATGTCTGTGTGACAGGTTTCTTGTTTTACAATGTGATAATAATAATATAACTTCATTGGGATGTCATATGGCTGAGAGTTTGTAATATATAGATGTGTTGAATAGTAAAAGCTAGGAGTAATTTCATTATTTCTGTCAATCTGAGATAATGTCTTCCCATTTTCGAGAATGACCAGAATCTTGAAGTTTCTCTTAAGTTTATAGTCAAAAGAGCTAAGGCATTTTGTTGTGCTGCCATGGCAATGTTTTGAGACAAAGAGACTAAGGGGGAAAGTTGTTTCCTGGAAAACAATTAACCACCGTGTTTGGATCTTATGTGTGGAAGAAATTGAGTGTAGACTTAAACTCATTATATCTCCAATATAGTGGTCAAGAAATAATTTACTGTAGACTGGCCAAGCTTCATGCCAGTTCTATGTAGACTAGGGTCCCCATATGATGAAGAACACGTGGGTCTTTCTCTCTTTCTCTTTCTTTCTTTCTTTCTTTCTTTCTTTCTTTCTTTCTTTCTTTCTTTCTCAGCTTTTCTAGCTCCTTTAATATTATATTTTTCAAGTGCATCTTTTTTTGAAAATTTAGTAATTTTATTTTTCTTTATAGGGGATTAATATTGTGCATTGTTTATTATATACCACATTTTTGTTATTTATTCGTCTGTTGATGGGCATCTATGTTGGTTTTAGTTCCTTGCTATCAGGATGCCTGCATATGTTCGGAAAGCACGAACTACATGGAAATACTTTGAATCTATAATGTATGTTAACATTTTCTGTATAGAGACACTTATATGTTGAATTGATGACAAGTGATTTTTAATTAAAATATTTAAATAAGATTCATTTTATTAAAATGAATTTATATGTGTTTGAGCACAGTAGTGCAGCTGCTCATAGAGACAAGAAGATGACACTTGATTCCTAGGAGCTAGAGTTTCACCTTCCTAACTTGAATCTGAGAACTGAACGTAAGTCTAATGTAAAAGCAGTACACACTCACAAATGCCATCTCTCCAGTACGGAAAAGTGAGTCTTTAAAAATATATAAATGGGTTTGGCCACTTTTAGTCAAAAGTTTGTATTCACCTAAAGTGGATTTAATATTTGAAACACAAATTTTTCTCAAAAACTTCTGCTAAAACTTAAATTAACATCTTAGTAAGATTCACTGGGTTTCTAAATATGATTGATGTGGTTTAAAGGCTCACATACTTTTCAATGTTTTTATTTCCCTTGGCAGAAAAGAATGTTTCTTCAATGACTGAAAAAAGTTGTACTAGTATTAATTAGTTTAGTATACTATACTTTAAATAAAGAATAGTAGAAAGACTAACATGTAAGAATTTTCATTACAATATGAACAAAGTTTTATCAGTTTGGTTTTTAGAAATTAAAATGTGTTTAATTTAAGATGAGTGAGATAATTTTTATCTAAATGGTGATATCTCTGGGTACATATTGTATTGCCCATACTTAACTTCCAAAGTTAACTATATCTATGGTTAGTTTGTCATATCTTTTGTCAGTACTGTGCTTTTAATATAGTAGTTGTAATAATAAGCTGTATAGTTATATGGGAACTTTTATGCTTTACACTCTGTGTATGCAAATCTGTCTCTCAGAAGTATCATGGTACTTGTGTATAATTAGTTCTTACCCTATTGGAGTCAATTCTTGTTCTGGATGTATAGATAGGAGGAGGGATGTTGAAAGCCTGGGGGACCAAATATTCCTCAGCATCCATCATATCTTCCAAATCCTCTTCATCCAAAAGATTCTGGAAGAATTTGCTGTCATTTGGACTGGGAAGCTTCATACGGTCATCACCCTGAAAGATTTCCCATGAGATAACCACAATCATTATTCCTTCCTCCATAACATATAGTTTCAATAGTCATTTTATACATTAGAAAACCAAATAGCTAGAGAATTCTTGTGCTCATTTAAAAAAATAGTCTTAGCATAACTACCATCCGAAAAGAATCCTGTACTATGGTTAGACAATAAAAGGTATAACAAAGAAATGAAATAGAAGAATATGATGATTGTATGAGAAACAACAAAAACAATGTAGTCGGCGCTGTGCAAGCTTTAAGAGTGAAAAATTCACTTCAGAATAACAGCTCACTGTCAAGGATGGGTATGTAATTAAGAATGGACAATAAGAGACAATTGACTTATCAGTTTTTATTTAACATGTTCCTACTATGCTGCTTAGCCAGAACACAGACATCCATGGTTTGTCTTGTAATATAATGGTATCATTGTCAAAATAATGGTATTTAAAATCACAGTACAGTGACATATAGAACATATATGGGTGTGAAAAGACCTAAGACTTCTGATAATCTTTGTTCAGTTTATCATGTCTTGAATAGTTTTATCTTTTCCAAAGTTTGTTATATTTGGTAAACAATGTCAGTTTGTGAAAACCAATTTGTAGCGAAATGACTAAAAAACCATTATCTTCTAATGTTTGATTTTTGTCTTCATGTTAATCTGCTTAAAGATAAAGGTTCCTTTCAACAAGGAAAGATAATTAAGACTCTTCAAGGTTCAACTGTGTCTTCTTTAGGTGAAAATCATCACAGAGAAATTATTATATTAAATAAATGAGCCAATTCACTTGGTTTCTGCTGTTAAATGCTAAATGTTCTTTGATTCATTTGAATTGAGTTCCTGCTTGGATACTTTACACCTCACCCAATAAAACAATACACAAATACTTTTAAAATTAATATATAGAGTAATGGATTTTGTAATGATGTTATGATGGAATGTTCATATGTACATTGTTTTGGTTTATCATTTTCTGATACTCTTCTTCCCTGTCTACTCAAGCCCCTTTTCTTTCTATTTCTATGGCATACGTATTCTATTAACCTCTTTCCTAATTTATATTTCCCTTAAACAATCATTTTCCTTTCTAACGATCTCTTTCTAGTTTTGTGGCCTATACCATGTGCATGTATATATGTATACATATGAGAAAGAACAGGTAGCATTTCCCTTTCTGAGTCTGCTTTGTCTCATAGACGTATATAGAACCATATTCAGATCCACAAATTCACAAGTATTTCACATGGTGACTTTATTATTGGATGTTTTCAAAGTTGTAAAGTTTAAATAGAGTTTGTTATTAGAGAGTCTTAAAAACAACATCAAAACAACTAACCTGAATAACTAGGTATCTTTGAGGGTCTCTAGCCATCCTTGAAAACTCAGCAGCCAGTTCTTTGAATTTAGGTCTGCTGTCAGCATCGATCATCCAACCTGGAGATTAATACACAGTAAAACATTAGTGCATCTACATTTGGAGAAAGTGAGGTTGAAGTTTGGGAAAATATGGGGCAAAATGTAATATTGTGATATATATTACATTTTGCCCCATATTTATGTTATATGTTTATAATTGTGTATATATGTGTGTGTGTTTGTGTTTGTGTATATAATATTCTGCAAAACAAAACTAGAAAAAAAGCAAACCAGGTGTAACTCAGTTGTCATGGAATACAACATATTATAAAACAACGAAGTTTTAAAAAATTAATTATTTTAATTATTTTTGGTGGGTATGTGCACATCAGAGCAGGTGCCACCCACAGAAGCCAGAAAAGGGCATCAGATCACTTGAAGTTGGAGTTACAGGTGGTTGTGAACTGCCTGACTAAGGTACTAAAATCTAAACTTGTTTCTCCTGAAAGAGCAACACAAGCTCCTAACTGCTGACCCATCTCTATGGGATCCCCAATTTTCCTTCTGAATCAAACTCAATTTTTGTCTTAGAAAATAGTTTTTAAGCTAACTTTGGGAAATTTTACAACCTCAGATTTTATTGTTCTTGTTTTGGAGTGTTAGGGCCCTGCTGGGCATAGGTGGAAGATGAGATCCTTGACCTCATGAAGCCTGGACGCCCCAGGGGGTGGGAATTTTGAGGGTGGAAAAGTGGGAGTGGAGGGGTAGGTAGGGGTTACATCCACAGAGAAGAAGGAGGAAGGGTAAGGGGATAGGGGGTTCCCGGGTGAGTGGGGGATGGGGTAAGGGGACAACATATGAAATGTAAATAAAATATCCAATAAAAAAATTATAAAAAAAAGATAATGTCCTTAAAGCATTCTTTGATGGCTACAAAGATAGAAAGTGAAGTTTTGTATCAAGAATACATGGTAGAAAATATTTGCTGTCATCATAGCACAGTGGTACGAAAGATTGAAAAGGCAGAATTTGAAAGCAACTGCTTTTGGCAGGTTTCCTGGTTGGAAGGAAAATTCAACATGATTTGTAATGTGTGTTCAACAATATTCATTTCGCTTATCTTAGAATTAGCTTTCCCAGAATAAAAATACTGGTTTTCAAGGTAGGTAGTCTTCTTTAGCTGGGAGTTCAGATAAAATGGATCTTAACTGCCTACGCTCTGTTTAGCTGATGAGATGACAAGAATAACCATGCCAAGCTCGCTTTGATTTCATTGCCAAATGATCCCTCTCTGAAGCATAAACTCTCCAGGGGAAGAGAGAAAAACAAAGGTGAAACGCTGTATATGGTTTGTCTAATAAGGCAAAATGTTTGCCTGCCTTTCCATCATCACATTGGGGTATTCAAATCACATCTGATACTGGTTATGGATCAAATTATCATATAACATAGGGATGTTTTAAAGCTTTCTTCCATGTCATTGAGTAAACAAGAACTGATCTAATACAGAATTCTTCTATTTCTGAGAAGTTAATTTTTATTCTTGTTTGGGCATCATCTTATGCATCCTTTGTGCCACCTCACATAAGCTCAAACACTCTGCATCTTATGGGTATTCATTTCCAAAGAAAATGCTTGTTAATGCCAAGATGCTAATGACAAAGCTACTAGAGTCAAAAAAGGTTAACTTCAGCTTAAGATATTTGTTTCTCCCTAACTAAATATTGAGTAAATAGAACTATGCTTAGAGAAAAGGGCATGCTGACCTGCACTGTGAGGAGCATTTTTTATTTCTTCCCTTCCTGTCAGAATAGATCACACATGTCATGAATATAAATATGAGAAGACCTGGGCCCAGAGTCTCTGAGTCTCTTATTAATAAAATGCTTATTCACCTTCACCACTTCATGTCTTTCTTTAACCCTATGTAATTCAAAACTGGAAAACCTCAGATTCTACAAGAGAGATGGCTTCCTGTTAATCTCACTTAAATTAAGTCAAAAACCCCAGAGACTTCTTTAATTCTATTAAAATTATGGGTCTAGGCTTCCAAAACACATTTATAATACATATGCATGTAGATTATAGGAGTGGAAAGAAAAGTAAGAACATTTGATGTAAACAAATGATCAAATTAAAATAAGTAAACATTTTAATCTTTACTTCAATGTGGATTCATCTCTTCTGATTCCCAACCTGCTCTGCTAACTTACATTTAATTAAGCTTATATCCAATTTAATTCATGTTTAGACTATCAGTAATGTTTAGCTATTTTCCCATAAAGATTAACATTAATATTATTACTAGCATTCATGTAAATAATTATCTCTCTTTATGACAAACTTTGACGGACATGGAAATTGTAAAAATTATGCAAATAAGAATGACATAATTTTTATTTTGTAGCTTAGAGGTGTTCTATTACCTCATAATACTAATTACAAAAACATGCATTTATATTCTGTACTCATAAAAATATTTTTGCTACTCTATTTAGCAATGCAGAGAAACATTTTCAGGTAAAACAATGTAAACTTTTATTTTATTAAGAATGATGATGATGCAGGCAGATAAAATATTTCCAGTCTTACATTTGACCATGACCATGTAGACATCAATAGTGCAGATGGGAGGCTGAGGCAAACGCTCTCCTTTCTCTAATAAATCAGGGATTTCTCGAGTTGGAATTCCATCATAAGGTTTTCCTCCAAAAGTCATCAGTTCCCATATAGTGACGCCTAGTTGGAAATACAATTCTCACATAAGCAAATTGCCATCACAACTTGAATGAACACACACAAAGTTACTCTTTTACAAAACAAACAGTTGAAACTTAAAAGAAGCTCCTTCATGTTCTTTCATTCATGACAACACTCCCAATGCTAAATTCTCCTTGGACAAGTAACATTGAGAATTCTTTCACTATTGTCTTTAAATTTTTAATGCATATCAGGAAAGATTTATATTAGAAACCAGGATTTAAACTAAGCTCCCCATTTGTAACTAAAGGTAATGCTAATGCTTATTGATGAAAATTGTTTCATGTACATTAAAATCCAGAATACGATGCCTTTACTGTATGCATGTGTTTACTACCAAATAAATATAATTTCAGGAAAAGCCTGACATCGATGGATTTTTAAATTAGTCTCTTGGTGGGAAACATCATCAAAGACAGGTAGTTGCAGATGGTTGCAGGTGGCTGTTGTTATGGTAAAGCCTTGTGGCTCACTGTTCAGCTAACACAAAGAAACAAGTGGCATAAAGCAATTTACTGAGCACACACAGGAGTCTGCGTGAGGACCAATCCATATGGAAGACAGAATGCATAGGAATGGGTATCCATAGAAAAGAGAAATGAAGAAATCAAGAGCAGCTTATTTCTAAGCTAAGGAAATGACTTTTTTGAATCACTATAGCAACGACAAAAAAAAAATAAGAGTAAAAGCAAAAGCAAGAACAAAAATAGCCTTACAGCAGAGATTACTTCCTTACTACAGTAGGTAGGTAAATTCTCTATCACTGAGATTTATCCTCAGACCAGAATACTCTAAAAGCAGAAATGGCTATGTAAGTATGATTGTATTACAATATGAATCTATGCATACATAGGTAAACTTTAGTATAAAATTGAATAATTAGGGCTAGGTTTCCTGAATATCTCTGCAATGCTTATTTACTTAAATGGTATGTGTTGGTCACTATTGCCTGAAAACAAAACAAAACAAAAATATGTAAGCTTCAAATTATCCATCAGAATAGAATAATTAACATTTATTGGATTATTTGTTAACATTTACATCTCATATTTTTTAGTGTCACATGTATGTACAACTAGTGACACATTTCAGCAGATTCGCATTTCCTAAATCCTTACTTATAAGGTCTAGTTGCCCAAGAAGCTAATATTTTTATTGCAATGGAAGGCTGGAAATGTAGTGATCACCCTTTTTAAGTCAACTCCAGTGTAATATACATATATGCTTATATACATACATACAGACAGACAGACAGACAGACAGACAGACATACAGACACACATGACACATGAACATTAAATGGGATTGTATTTTTTAAATTTCTCTTCTTCTGCATAAATGTATTTATAGGGTGTGTGTAATTGTGAGGATCTGCACATGCAACAGCACATGACTGGAAATCAGAGGACAACTTGAAAGAGTTGGTTTTCTCCTTCCACCGTGTGGGTTCTGGGTTTGAACTCATTCTATAAGGTTTGGCAGTAAGCTCCTTTACCTTCTGAGATGTCTTACAAGCCTAGAGGCATTCACTTTTATTCAATTTTAATATATTTATTCAATTAATACTAGTTTCACATGGAATATTTAAACTTAGACGCAGCATTGATCTTATCTTGTAATTTGTAAGGGGACAAAATTGTAAACACAGAACCGCTGCTAACTAGATCACCTTAACAACTGACTTCAAAATGATGAAATAATATCTTAATCATAAATATCAATTTCTCTCCCATGTCATTAAAATTTTATTTTTGTCATTCTAAAATTGGTTTGTAAATGAAAATCCAAGCTACAATTACTAGTGTTCCATTGCCACCTTCAGAACTGTCACTTTATGATGTTTATTGGTTGTCCACTGTTGTCACAATAACCAGTGTATTTTCTACCATTAGAATATTTATTCCTTTAAGCAAAAAAAAAAAAAGATTTTGTTTTTGTTTTATCCTTTAACATTGATTACTTCCAGAGTTTTATGACTAAATTGATGTTGTAAATCAAGGCCATGAGGTATTAAAAGGTTATTCCTAATGTTGGTCAGGTTGCGTGTGTGTGTGTGTGTGTGTGTGTGTGTGTATTTTGGTGTGTATGTAAGAAAAAATAGATTAGTCAGACAAATTACTCTCAAACCAAGCTTACAGAAGAAAACTTAGCAGTGATATTGTATGTTTTAGATTTAGAATTAAAATATAAATCACAAAATAGGCAGATAAAATTGTTGTTTGGCATATTTATTTTTTAAACGAGAGACCAATTACTTTAGAGAATCAAGTTTCTAAGTAAGGGTTTCCAGTACAACCAACCAACAGATGAATTCATCTATTCTGTATACGGTAAATATTTTTGTCTTTAGAAGGACAAATTTACAAAGATTTATTTACCATAGCTCCAAACATCACTTTGATGTGTGAATTTCCTATAGTGTATACATTCCAGAGCCATCCATTTAATCGGCATCTATAAATAAATAAAATGTGAATTATTAAAATTTTACAAGAAATCGTCTTTTAAAAAATATTTCTTAGGTGGTAGTCTCTGGACTAACCTCAGTTATAGTTTTGATAGAATATATATTGCTATAAACTAGTTATTTTTCAAGATATGGAACAAATGAATTGAAATTTGTAAAATCTATGATGTAAATTAACCAAAGGACACATTTTAAAGCTTCATGAACAATACAAAGAAACTTAAGAGTACAAATCACTTTATATATTTCTTAATGTCTAGTATCTAAATTTTGAGCTGGTGTTATGCCTGGCATTATCAAATCTGACAATCTTTCTACATGATGCTTTCTCAAAAAAGAGACTCCTCTAGTTTCAGGCATCCCATTTCTCTCTCAAATATGGTTTTGGCCACTGATGTGATCGATTGTTTCTTCAGCCGCTCAGATGTCCTCTTCTGATCATTTAATTGTCTAAAATCATGAATTCCAAAGTTAGCTTTGCGTTGTTCTTCCGTCACAAATGATCTCCCTTGACTTGGTAAGGCAGAATTGAAAATATGTACTGCTTTTGAAATAGTAGCTCAGAATATAAAGGAATGTAAGGGGATCCACACAAATCCATCAGCACTACAAGAAAAACAACTCAACCCACATCCCCTGTGGGTGATGGGTCAGCAGAATCCATTTCAACTCAAAGGGCAGCAGTATGTAGCTCGGGATATAATTAGATTCTATGGAATAAAGATAAACATTTCTACTTTGCAGTTGAAAGCTTAAAACTAAATAGGCATTTGGAATCATGAGGTTGGCTGCTCACCAAGGTGACACCAAGGTAACTCTATGACAGAATCATGGGCTTCACTGAAAAGGAACAGAAGACACATTGAAAGTAATTTCCCTATGGGCAAGGAGCTAGCAGACTTTATGGAGTATGAACACCGTGTTACATAAGGAATTTTAAATCATAGATGCCTTGATAAAGACTTAATGGTGACCAGGCATTTAAAGCTATAATGAATCTTGCTTTACATAAACTTTACAGTTGTATGTTCTTAAGACAGGTGAAGTCATATGATTTATAGATGGCTATTTCTCAGAAATCTTATTGAACATTTCAAAGCTGTAGTTTTTCAACCACTGTAGTTTGTAGTAAACAGACAAAATAGGCTGATAAAATGAAGGCAAGGTCAGATAATTTCTAAAAACTGAAATTTTATATTTTATAAAATTTTGTTTTCTTATTTTGTGGTAAGATTTGAATATAGAAAATTATGTAAAGGCCTCAGGTGAATAAAACCTAAATATTTAGAAGCCTATTCTTCCAAATATTTACTTGTGATAGAAAAGTAAGCTATGCAATTAACTAATTCATATATGTAAATAAACTTTTCATATCATCACTTCATAGGTCAACAGGTATTAAGAATTTTTGGGTTTGTGTCATTGATCTGCACATGCATAATTCTCTTCAATTAAGCAAGATAGATCTTCACATACAAACTTCGCTAATTAATTAGCCAAGAGTGTGGCTTAATCAGTAAATAAAAGACCTATAACTAAGATATAAGTGAAACTGTTTGGAGAGGGAGATATGCAGAAACACAATTGTCAGGCACAACTGGAGTTAGAGGGCTGGGAAACATAGCTGAAGATGTAACTGGGTCCAACCTTCAATATTATTGACTTAGCTTGCATTCTGGTATACAGTCAAGTGACAAGCAATGTAGGCAAATCATCCACTGTGATATAAGTGAAATCAAAGTGACTATACTAGATCATCTAGATCATCACAAGGTGTCATGTTTGATGCTAGGGAAAGTAGACCTGAGAATGATTAGGTTTCATATGAATTATGATTGTTGGTAGTATCCAAATTCCTCAATGGTACATAAGAAACTGCCATTCTGTAATAGCTCTTTAGTCTCGGGATCAATGAAACAGTCTTTACAGCCCTGTGTTAAAGGTTCACATTCTGCACCTCTAAGAATTATCACACTGTTGTTTTGATGGGAGATAAAGAGATATATTAGTACATTTTCAAAAGCTGTTGCTCTCAGCTTCACCTACCTTGCCACCATCAGCATTGTATTCTTTTTCATCTCCCTCCAATAGTCGTGCCAGTCCAAAATCTGTGATTTTAACATGATTTGGAGATTTCACTAAGACATTCCGGGCTGCCAAGTCCCTATGAACAAGCCGTCTTTCTTCCAGGTACATCATTCCCTGAAAAACAAACCAAGTTCAGCAAAGGGGGTCACTTAGAATCTGAAGTTTTAAAATGGGACACTTCATTTCTCAAGGGGAAGGCAGACTCCTGAATACTGTAAAATAAAAGTAAATTAAAAATAAAATTAAATTAAAAAGTTGCTGTGAGAGTTTGGCAAGCCACAGATAAGTTTTGACATAAAATATATACCTAGTTTTGGGGGGCTTGATATCCTTTTGCAAACACTTCATTAGTGAGGTGTGCAGCTGCCTTAGCAGATAAGCTAACATACACTTGGAGTGACCTATAGATTACTCATCTGTTTCTTCTCTATAATTTTTGCTTAGTGTCATCTTCCTCCTACACAGTCATTCCAAACAAACACAGCTATTCATAACCAAAAGACCTTCCATTCCAGGTTTGACGACACCAAAATCATCTTCAGAGAGTCTCTAAAGGCTGGAGAGTTATATTGCTTTACTCTTGATACACAGAATAAAGGATACCCTGGGGGTTCATAAAAGTCTAATTTCAAATAAAAGGCTTTTATGACATTAGTTGTCATTATAGGAACCCACAAGTGAGAGTACATAGTTTATAATGACCTACAAATTAGCCTTTAATATGTTATCTTCATAAAACCACACAGGGAAATTAAAACTAAAATTTATTGCTGATTACTAATGAGATAGGGTGGTGCAAGAAAAAGCTTGCTTTTTATATCATACCAAAATGTTAGTCTCTATAAAAATTCATAAAAGTGCTGACCCACAGAAATAATAATTTGTTTCTTAGTTATAGTTTAGCAAGCAGGAAGATAGTGTTGTTGTATCGTATGTAAAACATTTACATAATGTCAAGGTAAGAAAACTCAGGCCTAGTTTGGATAAGCATGACCATGATTTTTATTGAGAAATTAAAGTAAATTGTATATTTGATTTTTTTCCTCAGCAGTAAAATGTGGTCATTTGAAAACAAATCAGAATTATTATAAAAGGGCTGAAGCACATTCTCATTCCAATTACAAATCATTGCTGTTGGCAGTTAGCATTACGGCTGCACAGCTTTGAAGGATTAATGGTTTCTGATATCAAAACAAAAGCTGTGGAAAACATACACATAAATCACATAGGTCAAAACATTATGAACTATATACCCGATGTAGTGTAAAGAAGAGATTGCTGCACAGAGCGTTGGGAGCCAGCCTCCATAGAAATGCCCATCAAACACAACTGGCAGAGATAGCATCTCATACGGTCAGTCCAATCAGTCAACAGCTAGGTGACAACACATTTATTGGTACTTTCTGAAGTCAACTCGCAAATGGTATTTATGGGATTTTTGCCCTCTTTCCTAAGTAGTGCCGTCTTAGGACTTGAAGTAGGATATTCCAAAAATAAGGTAAATCTGAGAGCATACAGTTCTGGCAGGATTTAGAAGACCAGAGTTAAATAAGTTTATTTTCTTGGAGACGGTGTGCTTTCACATCCATCTGAATACTGTTTTTCTTTTAAGATATGTTCATTAAAAAAATAATTTCTTTTATGTCAACCTACATAGCAAGACACAGAAAACATGTTGTTGATGTACTGATTCTTAGATCTGCATGTACACAGGAGCACATATGTTCTGCCCACCATGCTAGATACTGGGGAGGTAAGATAAGATCTTCACAATAAAGAATGACAGAGTGAATTGCTAAACTGGGGAGGAATAAATCAAAACTGATGCATGTGGCAAGGAGGACACTGGACATTTAAGAAAAGTTGTATCCTGAGGAATAATTTGGCAAGTATACATGAAAGGAGAGACTTGAGAGAGGCACCCAGAGCAAACTAAGCCTTGAGAGGAAAGACCATGGGCAGAGAGAACAAGAACAGTCATCGAGAGTAATTAACAGATGCACTTGGCTAAGCACATACTATGCTTTCCCTCTGAAAAATAATACACATGGAGGGGCAGTGGTAAGCAATGAGGTTGAAGCAGTTAGCGGTCCAAGAAGCACATGAATATGTCAGGGAAGTGATGTGAGTTTTGAGTTTAGGGTTTAGGTTCTACAAGGAAGACGTCAGGAAGTCGTCTTTTAATTTCAAGACAAAGAGACTGAAAGGTCTTTCCTTGGTAACTGGATAAGAGAAAAGAAGAGTGATTTTTGATTCTTTCCTTTCTTTTTTTTTAAAGCATAGCGATTCTTCCAACTAAATAACATTCAAATAGAAATGTAGTTTATGTATTTAAGAGCTTTTATGTTTTTTATTTAATGATATGCATGTGTATTTTGCCTGTTAGTATATTTGTGTAGAGGCTAAAAAAACGCATTGGATTTTACAAAACATGAGTTCTAGATGGCTTTGAATTGTCATATAAGTGCTGGAATCTCTGCCTGGGTGTTCTGTAAGAGAAATGGGTGTTCTAAAGTGCTTATCTATCTCTCTAGGCCTAACTTACACATTTTTCAAACAAACTCTCTTCATCTTTCTCTCTGTCTCTCTCCCTCTCTCTGTGTACACACACACACACACACACACACACACACATTTATTTAGCAATGAGAAACAAATTTAAATCTCTGAGTTCAATAATAGTAAGTTTTGTTAGGATTAGGAAGCATATCAGTGGAACCAAATTTGCTTGCCAGCTTTGATCACCATGGAATTTTTATTATGGATAAGACACTTGATTTGTACTGTTTTGTTGTAGCATTCAGATTGACTACAATGCTTTTGATTTTAAAGATGGATTTTATTTTAATTATATGCATGTGCACATGTATGCAGGTGCTCACAGAGGTCAGAAGAGGGCATCAGATCTCCTAGAAGTGGAGTTACTGATGGTTGTGAACTACCAGATGTAGATGCTTGGAATCATGTCTTCTATGAGAGTAGTATGTGTTCTTAGATACTAAATTATACTTCCATGCCCTAAGACATTTTTGAGATGACACATTCTATAAGACAAAAGTTCGAAAACCCTAAAAGTACTTTGACACTCTATATTTTATTTTAAAAATCCACTAAATAGAGCATCATACTTGAATCTTACTACCACTTGTCAAGAAAAAAAAAATGTTTTCTTCGAAATAATGGAAACTCAAGTCAGAAAACCAGATGGCAATCTATGAAGTTTCGCCTGTCTACTTGACTAAAATCAGTACTACTAATAACAGAAGCATATGCCATTACTAAATTATCAAAACAGATTTGGATGGTCGCTTGCCACTCTGAGGCATCCCTGTGCAGATATACACTTCTAAGTCATTAGCAGCAGCTGCTACCTTAGTTCTGCTTTCCCACCCAGAATTAAAGTGTCGAATTGTCTTCGGATTACTTATAAAAGGTTTCTCACAATACAGCCATTAAGACAGCATTTTTCTTACTTGAAGAGCTCATTAGAGTCACAATTTCTGCTAAATTCTTTCAAAATAGAATTATTCTTTGAATGAACGGGATGCAACTAAGAAGACATAATTATTAGAAATAAATGTGACAAAACTAAGTATGATTATGTCCCTGGAAGTCGAGGATGAATGACAAGTGTTTATCCTCATAAGAGGACACCATTCTGGCTGGAAATGAAATCTTGTTCTCTGCTTGGGGCTTTTGGCATGACCTTGGCTGCCCAGCTCTGGAGAGAGCATAATGAGAATATCCACACCACAGGTCCTACTAACTCAGAACACTTTGGACAAGTTAGGTGTTAAATAAAATGTTTCTATAACAGTGAGTCAATGTAACTCTATGAACCATGTACTTTTTCTTCTAAAAGAAATATGATAAAACCAAGGTAAAAAAAGACCATGCTACTAGGTCCAAGTGATATAACTAATACGTGGTAGAAGAGGGACTGGATCGTTTTGGCTAGGATTCCAAAACCTACATATTTAAATCTGGGCACATGGAAATGAACTAACATAGGTGAGACTTACAGCATCATAAAACACACTATTGCAGAAAAAATATTCTTAAAGATTTGTGTGAATTTCATGCACAATGCAGTTGATTGACTTTTAAGAAGTATTGTTGTATTTAATATGTAACTAAATCACAAAGTTGTTTAAGATTTAGAAACTTTTAATTATGTAAAATTTAAGAGTCTAAGTTTGCTTAGGGCACTCTGTATAGAAAATGGAGGGCTGGATCTGAATGTAAATTCTAAAGGCAATTGTGTGGTTCAAACCCTAGCTCTTTAAAGTTCTAGATATGTGATTGGGCAAGCAGTTTTACCACTCTATCACCATGCCACTCCTCTTTAAAGGGAAACAATAGCACAGTTTATACTAGACAAGCATTTATATTGATACAAGTATCCTGAAATATACCTGCTATTATTAATATGTAGGTAATTCAGAATTACCACTATTCAAATTCTCATTTTAATAATGCTGCATTCTCCTTGTTGTTATATAAGGATATTGCACAGCTTATTGTGAAGGTCAAGTAAAATAGCACATATAAATCCTTTATTAAGTGGCTTATTGGAACATGCAAACTCTCATCAGTGTGCCACTGATAATTATCAACACTTCTCAATTAGGCAAACATTACTCTCAGTAAGTTCACCTGCCTGTTATAGAGAAATCTATAAGGCACAGTGAGCACTTAACAAACATGTTCACTGATACAAATACCCCCAAACCTACCCCCATGATTAATGTGTATGTACAAATTTCAGAATTACTACTATTCAAAAATCTTCTTTTAATAGTGTTTTGCTCTCAAAGTTATTATACAAGGATAAAATTTATTAGAAAATGTATTAAAGTTTTGGTGTGCTTTATAAATATACCACAGTTTACAGGAAGTTACTGAAGATAAGGTCACAAATAAGATAGCTATGAAAGTCTTTGATGCTGGCAGATGCTTTCTGTGAGTTAATAAAATGATCAAACTGTTCACCCCTATCACAGAGCACAGAGGAGTATTTTAGAAAAATGTGATTTAGCAATGTTTTGTTGACTTCATTACCAAAGTCATACAAATCTGATTTTAACCAAACTGTTAACAGTTGCCCCATTTCC